CAAGAATGTCCTTTTTTTCTGATCATGAGCATGATTATATCGTATTTCTGGAGCTGTCCAAGGATTCAATATGGAGGTACCAAGGAAGGCTGAGCTATCAATTATCACCAAGTAGTGCACCTTATAATTCTCGTAATAATTAATTGCAAATTACATATTTTTTCTCCGAAACAATTATGTGTTTTCTATACACCAATCGATTCTTCTCATTATTTTGTGCATAAATGTATTAAAGTAAGATAATCGAAAAATGATAATTTTACGGTTTATGTAAAATTAAATAATTATTTCAAGCCTCATAATTCGAAAAATACTCAATGAAAAATACCTTATTATGGTGTTTTGGAAAGCTCTTGAGGCAAACTACAAGAATATGTAAAAGTATATAGGGTGTTCCATTTAAAAAGTTGGATGTGATCTTCACGTGACATTCAGGTAATTCTTCAAGGTCAAATTAATAGCACCATCTTATGTCCTCCTTCAAGCCATACAACTTTCGTCTGAAACATTTTTCGATTTAATGCAGTGTTTCTGAGATATTCGCGTGTATTGATTAAAATGGTCTACCCTGTATAAACAGCATTTAAATTTTTCAATACAGAAATATCTTGTTTTTTTTTTTTTTCAAAAATCAGTTTAGCTAACTTGGAAGAATGCTGTAGCATAAATCGAAGGCAATAAAAGAAGCTGTTTAATCGGTGATGTTGGAAGACCTCTTCTTGATGATTTAGAGGAAACTCTTCAATTCGAGGGAGAATATAATACATTACAGATTTTTTTCAAAATCTGTATCTCTTAATAAATTCCTCTTCAAACCACCATTCGAAAAAATTTCGTGCATCTCTAATATAACGTTTTGGTAAACGTTCGCGTAATTCTTCATATATATCATATTGATCATAATTTTCATAAATATTATATTGTTCATAATTTTCAATCCAATTCATTTTAATTAACCTGTACATTGTCAAAAAATTTTGTAATAAATATATTTTCACTATTAAGTATAATACTTTTTTAATATGAAGTAAAATTATTATTCATATTACTTATATTAATAATATATTACTTAATTATTTCATATTATTCATATTATAATAATTATATTACATATTACTTATTATTAATATTATTATTTATTACTTTTTTGTTATTAAGTAGACGTATATATTATTAAATTGCAAAACATAAACATACTTCTATACATATATCATTTGATGATTAATTGTAAATTATTCTATTAAATCTGTCACATTTTTCTCAAGTCATCTTCGAACCACACTTGAGTGATACGCAATATTTTTTCGACTCAAATCTTAGCTGATACGAAATTCAAAGACTATTAATATGTAAATGTGTGATTTTTTCTCAAGCTGCGATTATTGAAATGCATTCACAGCTCAAGCTGCATATCAAGACAAACTTCCTCTGAGTATTTCTATTGAATCGAGAATATAAATGAATGCCATATCGATTCTTAAGATTCATTTATTAAACCGTACACATCTCAAAATTAGTTTCAGATGAATGTCTCAGCAGAATCGTGATTATAAATAATAATCTATATTTGTCATCTAATATTTATGAGTCATTACGAAGAAAACACGCAAAAATACTAACAATGAATCAAAACCGATCCCTTTAACAAATAATTATGTGAAGATAAAAAAATATCGAAAGGAAAACAGACAAATATATCTATGATAGAACAATATAGATCTTCCTCTAAATAGAAAGAATAACATCCTAAAGCTTATCAGAGAGGAGAACAAGAAATTGATGGCGAATTTAGCCGACCCAAACCGACAAATCTAACCAACAATAGCCGGATAAATCTTACAAAAATTCGAAACCTTAGTAAAAAACTGGCGATAAATAGACACCTTTTGACCGTTTTAGGCAAACAAATTTTTTTAATCTAAAACGTAATTGAGGTAGAATAACGAAAAAATAAATCGAATCAAATTTTAAAAGCTGTTGACTTTTAATGGAATCCTCCTTCTTCTCCTCCTCTTCTACACACACACATACAATTAAAATTTTGTTACTTCTATCGCCCTAAAGTTATAATCCATTTTCTTTATTATTATTTATCTGTCTATAACATATTTGAATAAAGATAACATTAAAAACAAAATCCAATCAGAACATTCGTGTATTTATTTTTATATAATATGAATAATTAAAATATAAAAGTAGAGGCTCCAAACTAATAATTTGTAATAGAAAAATTAATAATAAAAAAGGACCAATTTGAGCCTGAACGCAGTAAACGGTGAGTAATGTTAAATTGTATTTATTATCGAGTTATGTGTAATTAACTTGACCATATATTTCGATCCTTTTGTGGATTTTTTTACTGGTACAATATAAGAAAGAAAATAAATAAATCGTTACAGATTAAATGATTGAGCGATACATATAAATTTAAGGTGATGAGAGCCGTAGATAATAATAAAAAATTATAATCAAATATGATCAAACTATGGATCCAAAAAAAAACGGACGATAGAAATGATATATTATGAGAAATTGATGTAATAGTATTCATGTTAGATATTTTATAAAAATAATGTCATAAAAATAATAATTAATCCGTGAAAATTTTAATATATTTATGTTTTCTGTAACTATACAGTTATAGCAAAGTGTATAACATATTTTATCGACATTTTAAAAATATTTACTTGTTTTATAATAGAAATTTTTCTAAAAAATTATATTATAAGAAAATAGTATTGTTCCTACGGTTATTTAATATAATAATATAAAAACTATACGCCTTGATAGACAATATACACTTTGATATTCCCTATGAAAATTTTACATAGAGCAACTTTGTCTCTTGATATAAACGGATTCTGATGACCTAATCTTATCTGGAATTGTTTATCGTAGGCAATACATCGTATATCAGTATGTAAGAAAATTATGTCGATTGAAAATAAATACATTTATATACATTATATAACTTTATTTGTTTGTAACATGTTTTCAGTTTTAATATATTCAAAAAGATTCAAATGATTAGTATTATGCACAAAAAAGCAGACTTACGCACTAAAGATATACTTCTTCAATATTTATTTCTCTTGCATAACAATTTTTTTGAACAATATTTTATAAACGGAATCTTATTTACGAATTTTTTTATGAATGGACATCTTATTCTCACATTGCTTTCGATGTCAGTCATTATTACACAACATAGTCGACTTATTAGATTAGAATGATATATGTAAATGCAAAACTTGCAATTATATAGCTTACGAGAGCCATTTCGGATAACCTTAATCATGACATATTGTGAAGTTGATGATCTTGAGCAATATTCAAAAGTTTTAAGCGCACGTTGTTTATTTAAAAGTTATAAACAAAAAAAGTTTTATAAATAGAATATTTTGTTTCTGATACTAAGTATATACTGGGTGTTAAAAAAGTCTGGACACTATCGAATGTCTTGATAAGGAAGAGTTTTACTAGAAAGTGTTTCAGACAAAAGTTGTATGGCTTTGAGGAGGACATAATATGGTGCCAATGGTTTGACTTTGAAGAGTTATTTGAAGGTCATATAAAGGTTATCTTCAATTTCTTAAACGCAACCTACTCTTTCTTATTACATATTCATGTAGCTCATCTCGAGAGCTTTCCAAAACATTATAATTAAGTTAGTTTTTAAGTACTTTCCGAGTTATGAGGTATGAAATCATTTCTTAATTTTACATAAAACATAAAATATTTTGTAAAATATTTATTTCTCGATTATCTTACCTTAATATTTTCATATACAAACTAATAAGAGGAATCAAATGATGTAACGAAAACACATAGTTGTTTTGAAGAAAAAATATGTAATTGTTAATTGCAAATTATTTTATTTTTTGTATTTTTATTTCTTTCGTGTGTGCAATAATATTTGTACATAATCATGATATAGGCAAAAGAAGCTGTCCGCATAATATTGTGCGCAAATGAAGCAGTTGGCAAACAGGATCCCCACCCATTAAGAATAATATCTGATTATTATTAAGATCTTGAATTGAAGAACGGTTATAAATATGAGCTTCACATTTATCTTATTAGTTCGAGTAAATTTATTGCACTGAATTATGTATTTCCATAACGCAATTTGTGATTTCATTTTAATGATTTGAGTTGTATTTCGATCGTCGCATCATATAATCTATCAGGTAATCTTTATAATATTTGTACAAAATAAAATTTTATAACATTTTTTTGCAAAATTTCAGTGTTTAATACTGATTAATTAGCGAAAACGTGGTCTTAACAGAAATTATTTCTAATACCATGAGTCCTTAGTTTTGTCTAATATTGCAAAAATTTTATTAATTAATATTATATATTAATTATTATTAATATTATAATATTAATGTATAATAATATTTCAACAGAAAAAAATTTCAAAATACTTATTTGTTTATGACAGAATTTGCAAATACTTCAAATACTTTATAACTTCGGTATATTACAACTTTGTAATCAGATATTATGATATGACTTTCAGAATATTTTTTACAATTATAAAATAAATAAAATTACTGAAATAAATAAAAATACTAGAAACAATTTATGTTAAAGATTTGACATATAATAGATCTATGATGTTAACACTCGGCTTAATATTATAATACTATGAAATACAGTTAAGATGTTGCAGTAGAATCTCGCGAAATTTTATATTATGTAATAGAGAAACAATTGAAAGAAATTGGCACATTAAAAATTTTTTTATTTGATTAACAAATTTAGTGTATATGTAATATTTTTTCCTGGAATGATTAAATTTATCGTATCTTTTATAGCTTGATTAAATTATTACAAAATATGGGATTAATGTATTACAATGATCTTTTATTTTCTCCCTCTTTCTTGTTTTAGGATTAATATTCTTTAGAATATCAAGATACTTTCAAAGTTTGTCGAAAATCAAATATCTACTTTTATATATATCAAAAAATATTTATGTAATACATATGATCAAAGAATAAAAAAAAAAAACAATAAACGGAAGAAGGTTCGGATTACTTAGACGGTTAAGAATATCAGATTAAGAAACGATGTTTACTATATCGATACTATGTATGTTTATTTTATTGATATATTATTTGTATAATAAATATTACATGAATTATAAAAGAAACTGGCGACTCATTAAACTTATACCGGGACCACCGGGTTTACCAATTGCTGGCAACGTGTTCCAATGGCATATTTCAGAAGGTAAACACAAAATTTTTAATTTATTTATATTAATTAAATAAATGATCTATTATTTATACAAATTAAATTTATAAATCATGTACTTTGAAACATATACTTAGCAAGAATACATACAGATTCCTTATTTGAGCACTTTTCTTCACAATAATTACTTGTTTAATTAAAAATTACAATTTTCTTTATCATTATGTTTCCAATGTATTTGAGTAAAGATGCACTAATGTTGAAAATAAAATTAAACCTATCAAAATTTTTGTACATTAATATTTATAACATAATTTTCAGAAGAAAAATGGAAACTTCACTGTACATTATCTAATGAATATTATCCCATCTTTAAAGTTTGGAGTTTTTCCATTTTTGTGGTGTTTATTCGTCATCCAAATGATTTAGAGGTAATAAAAGAAATTCAATTTTCCAGAGACATTACGAATTAACTAGCTTTGGAAATCTTGCAAGTCATAAGTAGATTTTTGCTCAGTAAGATATGTTTCTTAAAAAGATAATAAATAAGAATATCCCTAATCAATGAGACAAGATACAAATTTTAAATGCAATTATTATTTATGTATTTAATTCAATGAGATATAATGAACAGTTTCTCTTCTTTAACATGTTTTCGGTGATTTTAGACGATATTAAGTAGCACAAATCATATCGAAAAAGGTATTTTTTATGACGCATTGCATCCTTGGCTCGGTACAGGACTTATCACCAGCAAAGGTAAGTAATCAAAAGATTATAAAATAATATCGTGCAATATAAAAAAAATAAATGTAGGGTAATAATATTATTTACTGTCTTTCTGACAGTAATCTTACATAATATTATTTGTATTTTATTGTAATATCTTGTTTTTCTTATAGGAGTTAAATGGCACACGCGGCGGAAAATATTAACATCTACATTTCATTTTAATATATTAAACCAATTTGTTGATATCTTGATCAAAGAGAGCGATTGCATGACTAAATCTTTGATGGATGTTAGAGGGACAGTAGTAAAGGATTTATTGCCATTTATTAGTGAACATACGCTAAACGCGATATGCGGTAAGGCTATTGTAAAATTCTCATTGTACGTTATGTGTCGGAATTCCATTTTGAACGAGATCATTTTTTAAGATTATAAGATAATAAAAAAGATAACTTCTCCTTATACATATATCGATAGCTGAATGGATAAATAATATCTGCACTGAGAAAGAAATTTGGTTACATTAATTAGAATCCTGATAGATTCAACCAGTATGTCTATTGGAAAATGGAGGAACCAGAATTCTTGTAGGAATTACGAGATGAATCTGATTAATTTCTTCCTGTTAAATTTATCAAATTTTCTTGTTAATAATACTAAACTCGCCAACACAAATTCGTCTCAAATTTTTTCCGTCTCAAAAGTCTGTTTAATATTCTGAATTCTAACAAGATTATTGGATAAATTCAATCCAGATTATTGAATAAATGATTTTAAATTCAGTTTGTTAGAAATTAAACTGATAAACAGTGATGCAAGAAGAGGATGCAGCTCAAACACAAACAATCAGAGAGCTAGCGTCCTCTTTCTGGTACTACTGCACGTAAAAGAAAAAAAAAATACTTTGAATTTAATGTTAATACAATTCTTTATATATATTTTATGGCAAATATTGAATACGAGTTAAGTTAAGAGTGGCTCGCCGTTTAACGGCAAGCAAAGAAATTAATATAACAAGAAATTTTAAACATCCAATCAGAAAATACTAACCTAACCAAATAGTAAAATCTTATAGTAAAATCTATTAAACGTTCTAGTTATAAAAAATCGAGTTTTATCATGATAACTAGAAATTACTTGGATTGGTTTAATCAAAATGTTTTCAATCGTGTACATTCAAATGATTTTTCTCAGTGCGGTTTTTTATACTTAAAGCTATGTATTAAATATTCAGCTATAATAATTTTTGACTGTTATTTATTTCTTATATAATAAATATATTTGTAGAAACTGCCATGGGTGTCTCTTTACGAACTCTCGGCGAATTTCAGCAACAATATCGAAATGCAGTTCACGACATGATCGAATTGGTATTTTATAGGTAATTTATATGAGTGCAGTAAATATACATAATTATATAATATATTTATCACCTTTCAAGATATGATTTTGATATACACAGTAAAAAATAAAATTTTAATTATAATTACATTTTTTACATGTCCACTCTAAATTTTAAGTTAAAATATCTCATTCGTCGTATGTTACTTCTTGACAAACTAAAAATGTTAAATAATTCACATAATACTTTACATTTATTTTTGTTATTGTGACTTTAAATGTAATATAAAAATAACAAATTAATTAAAAATTACATGAAAAAATAGTTACAATAACTCGTAATAATTGTTGTAGGACATTAACGTATGATAGTAATTATTTTAACTTAAATTATTTGTAATAGAAGCATTTGATTTTAGAAAATTTGATTATTTTGTATACTAAAGTTCAGGATTATTTGAATATATATATATACACACATCAAAATTATTTTAATAATATCTTAAAAGTTCTATCATAAATATGTTATACATTAATTATAACAAGATAAACAATTAATAAAGAAAAAAATTAATAAAGAATGTCAATTTGTTTAAACGGGCAAACTGCAATGAAAATGTATTGTTTATTGCTAAATATTTCATTATAAAATAAACAATATTTTGAAATCTTTAAAAGATGGGAAATGTTAGGACATATTGTAAAATTAAGAAAAAAATAAAATGTATAATAAGATCTAAGGAGAAATTATTTTTAATCTAAAAATTATAACTGTAACAAAAGTACAATGTTTTGAAAGTTCCTATCTTTTTCATAACAAATATAATTTAACATTTTTAATCTCTTGTACATGATTATTTAAAGATTACTTTGACATGTTAGAATGGATTTAAATAACATTTTATAAATAAGGCTTTTATAAAATTATATTGTTATTGTAATTATATAGCTTTATTGAATTACTGTTTAGAGCATTCAGGCCTTGGTTTCACAACGATATGATATTCTCATTGTCATCACAAGGAAGAAAGCAAAAGAAAATCCTAAAAATATTGCATGGATTTACGAAAAAAGTAAGTAATATAAAGAACCATAATTTAAATTCTTCAAATATTTACATTTAAAATTACATTACTATTAATATAAAAGAATCACTGTAAAATTTTGTACTGTGTACGTAGATTATTGCGGAAAGAAAACTTTATCACGAACGTACCAATGGTCAATATTTAAAAAACCTTGAAAGTGATAAAGAAGCGGCGACAAATGATGAGGTGTTTGGAAGTATGTACGATTAGAGTTCCTAATTTAAATTTGATTGCGCAATTTAATATTATACGTTATACTTATAGTATTTATAGTAAACATAATTACACGTAAAAGTATAACATATATTTGCTGTAAAATTAAATCATTATTTGTAATGGAGTTTGAATTTTAATCAAAAACAAGTTTAAAAACGTGTTTAAAAATTAAATCGCATCGCGCAAAAATGAGTTCGTCCCTAATATGCTTTTTTTTAGTTAAAAAAAAGCGGTTAGCTATGTTGGACCTTTTATTAGCGGCATCTCAAGAATATTCTTTAACTGATTCGGACATCAAAGAGGAAGTTGATACTTTTATGTTGGCAGTACGTATCTGTAATCTTTTTTTATTAATCTTTTTTTGTATACGTTATCTAAGCATATAATATATAACATATAATATATAACATATAACTTATAATATATGATGATATGATGATAATTACAGGGTCATGATACCATAGCGACGGGTATAATGTTTACTTTATTACTATTAGCTGAACATAAAGATATTCAGGTATCTATTTCTAAATATATTGCGATACATTATTTAAATTACAATTTTTAAATGTCAAGTTCTATTTTGTTACAATATATTTTTTCAATATTAGTAAATATGTATATCACTTTATTTTTACATTTTAATTTTTAAGAATTTATTTACATTTATGTAAATAGAAGGTAGAATATCAAGAAATATATTTAAATTATTATGGATAACATAGGAGCGTGTGAGGCTTGAAGTCGATGATGTGATGCAAGAGAATGGAGGGAAACTTAACATGAGATCACTGCAAAATTTATCATATTTAGATAGATGTTTAAAGGAAGCATTACGTTTGTATCCCAGCGTGCCTACACTATCACGATACACTGGAGATGATGTAAAATTACGTAATTGATCACTTTTTTCCTATATATATCTTTGAATATGTTACGTAGCACAGAATACATTATGGAATGTAAAATGATATTAATGTATTAATATTTTAAGAATACATTATGAACATTTCGTTTTTCTCAAAATATCCTTTTTTGTAAATTTTAAAATTAATTTTATAACATGCTTTCCAGAATCATATGTCGTACCCGCTGGATCGATCTTAGTGCTTAATATCTACGCAGTTCACAGAGATTCCAATTTTTGGCCAAATCCGGATGTATTTGATCCGGATAGATTCTTGCCTGAGAAAATAGAGAATCGTCATCCTTATTCTTATCTACCTTTCAGTGCAGGGCCAAGAAATTGCATAGGTAAATTGGTTGCAATTATTGTTTCTCCTTATGTCGATCAATTTCAATAAATTTGATATTGTAGGTCAACGATTTGGTCTCTTGGAGATGAAAGCTATAGTAGCTCCTTTGGTGCATAATTTTTATTTGGAACCCGTTGAGTATTTGAAAAATATTCAGTTCAAAGCGGATATAATTATTCGTCCTACTCATCCAGTTCATGTGAGATTCATCCCAATCACATGCAAACGAAAATCGTTTAAAAAATACTAACGCGGATGCTACATAAGTATAATAAATTGAGTGTACCGCATTGCATTGGAAAAATTGAAGAAAATAGTTAAGGATATTACATGTTTTTTAAAGAAAAAGTGAAAAAAATTATGCGTTTTGTCGAGGAGTATATATATTAACAAAACATTCTTTTGCACAAAATGTTTTGTGAGATGAATTTGATACTTTGTTTTATTATCGTTTTGTTTTCAATGTAATTCTTTCTTAATGGCACGAATTAATTGATTTATTAAATTAATGATATATAAATGCGAATGCAAAATTAGATTTAGAAAACTAACAGTAAGACGCTCCTATGTGGTATACATCATATATCGTTGTATACATACTGCTCAACAAAATTATCGCATGGGTAACTTTATGTCAAAATTTCGGATAAATTCAAATAAGCATAACTCCGTTAAAGATGCGGAAGGGACATTCTTTAATCAAAATAAATAATAATATGAAATACAAAATTATAATTTGAATTTTCATAACCGATATATTTATTTATTAAACATCTTAGTATGATGAAAAGAATGGATATATTCTGATTTAGTAAGAACAAGCTTGGGATGAAATGTACAAATATACAAATCTCTTACTAATGATGAAATAGTAAAAGTTATTCGCAAGATTCTGCTATGATTACACGTATAATTAACACATAAAATTTAATAGATAAATATTAATAAACTAATAGATCGTGGAAAAATGCAAAACAATGATTATCTTAATTATTTTCATATTATTATTATTAAGAAACATGCAAGAGATAGAAAAAATGTTGGATTACATATTAAAGAATTTAATGAATGTGAATAATAGTATTTTTCTTCGTAAAAGTATATTCTCTCTTTAACATGTCATTTAAAAGTTTGTTACACACACACACACATACACATACATATATATATATATGAGAATCGAACCTGAGTCTTTCTTGTTCCGAGCAATTTAATTGGCTTTATTTCTTATTCTTTATTCTTTATATTTCTTATTCTTCATATTCTTTATTTTTTCTATTTTTATTCTTTATATTCTTTATTCTCTATATTCTTAATTCTTGATTATTTATTCTTAATTATTCCTTATTCTTTATATTTCTTATTCTTTATACTCTTTATTTTTTATTCTTTATATTCCTTATTCTTAATATTCTTTATTCTCATATTCTATTTTCTTTATTTTTAATAAATGCATTTCCAAGAGTGATTACAGTTTACAGACAAAAAAGCAATAAAACATACTTCATTAACACTGTAGCAACTAATGTCGTTGATTTTATTAGAAATAATTCGAAGCGATAAATTACTAAATAATTTATCTCCTAATACGAGTCTCTCTTTCTCTATTTCTCTCCTATTTATTGATGTAGCGAATTGATGAAGCGTTAGAAGATTTGATATGATTGAAAATTGATAAAGAAATATAAAATATTTTTCCTTATGTATTATTTATATTGATATTCCTATCTGGATTTTGAAATAGATTCGTTTTAAACGGAAACAATCCTTATTTCAAATCAATACTTTCAATCATAAAATTTTACTGACTTTTGAATAATTTCATAATCATTTTTACATTATCAGATAAATATGTAAATAAAATGCGAATGAATATGTCATTTAGGCCTGTATTTCGAATCTCGTCGTTTCTCGAATCTCGACTCAAGAACTTATCAGATGAGAGACTCAGATTGGAGTTTCGATAAGAGATTATATGATTATTATATATTATTATTAGTTATCTTTATGATTATTATAATTATTATTAGTATTATTATTATTATCATTATATATTATCATTTTTCTTATTGTTATATTTATTATTTATTTATTATTATATAGATTATTATTTATTAATAATTTATGTTTATTAATCATTATTTTATTACCGTTAATGAATCAATTACTTTATCCGATAATACATAAACGATACTCTGCCAATTTTGATTAAAGAGCCTGAAAATGAAGGTACTACAATTAAATTATTTAATATCAATAAATATTAGAGATTTTATATTAATGAATTTTAAATATTTTTATAATAATATTTTATTATTGATTACATATATATATATATATATATATATATATATATATAATATGTTAAATTAAATAAAATATGTCTCAATTAATGCTTAATTGAGCCATATCTTCTCCAGGACGTGGTATTGGATCTATTGATATGGGCAAATCAAGAGGAATATTATTATCAATTATTAAAGCGTCTTTAATTATGAGAGCGATATTATGTAAAACCGCGCAAGCAACTATTATGTTGCAAACTGGTTCCAATTTGTTTCCCATTCCTTGATTTAAATATGGAAATCTTCTTTTCCAAATTCCAAACATGCGCTCTACAACATTGCGAGCTTCAACACACCAAAAAAAATATGTGTCAAATCAAAACTTATATACTTCAACTCACGAGTTCATTGTTTCATACACAACAATTTATATTCTTCTTAGAAGAATTTAATAATTTTAAATTTCAGCAATATTATAGTCTTATTTTAATATTGTAATAGTCACCTCAAGAATATGTAATTATTTGATTGTACTTTAAGAAAATTGTAATCTTTGATTTAAAAATGTTATTTATTATCATCTAACATTATTTCTTTTCCATTCAAGAAAATTAAATCTTAAATCATAAGAATATATTTTTCTCGATTAAACTATATAAAATGGCTTTATTCAAGTAAACAATTATTCAAGAATTATATTTTTCTTTAATTAACGCAATATAATCTCATTTCAAGATTTTCATGATAAAACTAAATATATTTTCAAAACAAGAATGTTCTTTTTTTCTGTGCATGAGCGTGATTATATCGTGTTTCTGGAGCATTTCTGTCCGAGGATTCAATATGGAGGTACAAAGATATGGAAAGCTGAGCTATCCATTATCACCAAGTAGTGCACCTTCTAATTCTCGTAATAATTAATAGCAAATTACATATTTTTTCTCCGAAACAATTATGTGTTTTCTTTACACCAATCGATTCCTTTTATTATTTTGTGCATAAATGTATTAAGGTAAGATAATCGAAAAATGAATATTTTACGGTTTATGTAAAATTAAAAAATTATTTCAAGTCTCATAATTCGAAAAATACTTAATAAAAATACCTTATGGTGTTTTGAAAAGCTCTTGAGACAAGCTACAAGAATATGTAAAAGTATATAGGGTGTCCCATTTAAAAAGTTGGATGTGATCTTCACGTGACCTTCAGGTAACTCTTCAAAGTCAAATTAGTAGCACCATCTTATGTCCTCCTTCAAGCCATACAACTTTTGTCTGAAACATTTTTCGATTTAATGCAGTGTTTCTGAGATATTCGCCTGTATTGATTAAAATGGTCTATCCTGTATAAACAGCATTTAAATTTTTCAATACAGAAATATCTTGTTTTTTTTTTCAAAAATCAGTTTAGCTACCTTGGAAGGATGCTGTAGCATAAATCAAAGGCAATAAAAGAAGCTGTTCAATCGGTGATGTTGGAAGACCTCTTCTTGATGATTTACGAAGAGACCTTTCAATTCGAGGGAGAATATAATACATTACAGATTTTTTTCAAAATATGTATCTCTTAATAAATTCCTCTGCAAACCACCATTCGAAGAAATTTCGTGCATCTTTAATATAACGTTATAGTATACGTTCGCGACGTTGTATTAATTCCTCATATATATCATATTGATCATAATTTTCATAAATATCATATTGTTCATAATTTTCAATCGAATTCATTTTAATTAACCTGTACATTGTCAAAAAATTTTGTAATAAATATATTTTCACTATTAAGTATAATACTTTATTAAGTATAATACTTTTTTACTATGTAGTAAAATTATTACCTCTAAAGAAACCTTACAAAGGTAAAAAAAGTACGCCAAGTACATAAAAAATATTCTACCATATGCAATAAATTTATATTTAATATATTTAATAAAATTATCCATAAAATAGTTTACAGAAATTTTCTCTAAAAAAATAGTTGTCCTAAAAGAAAAACAAAACTAAATATGAAATCAATAATTAACTAGCCAAGTACATTGAAGCAATTCATAGAGATTTGTAATTTAAAATATGAAATATAATGATATATAATGATATATAAAAATACATTATTATCCAAATTTAAATAAATATTTGTACAATATATGAAATAGCACTAATATATTGCGAATTTTATCATAAACATAAATAATAAGTCATAAAATTATTTAATCTTTACAATAACATTGATTACATTAATCGGTAATTTTGAATAGAAGTGTCTCGAAAAACTAATCGATTTGTTTCGAGATCATCAAGTTTTACCAAGTAAATCCGGAACTAAAGAAATTAAGAAAAGTTACATACAAAAACTTAATTCAGATAGCATTATAATATATTTATTATTAATAAATATTTAATTTTGAAATTAATTCTAAGTTTTACCAAGTAAACTTGCAATTGAAAAAGTTAAATCAAAATAAAAAAAACTTGGCGTGCTCTCGTCGTATCCCATAATTCACATAATTTTATTTTAGTAAATATTTAAAATTAAGATTCGCAAATTATATTCCTGTAATTATTAATTACATATCTGTAATTATAATATTTACTAATCATAACAATATGAATATTATAATGCGGCGAGAGCACGCCAAGTTTTTTTTTATTTTGATTTTAACTTTTTCAATTGCAAGTTTACTTGGTAAAACTTAGAATTAATTTCAAAATTAAATATTTATTAATAATAAATATATTATAATGCTATCTGAATTAAGTTTTTGTATGTAACTTTTCTTAATTTCTTTAGTTCCGGATTTACTTGGTAAAACTTGATGATCTCGAAACAAATCGATTAGTTTTTTGAGACACTTCTAAATTTAAAATTGCCGATTAATGTAATCAATGTTATTGTAAAGGTTAATAATTTTATGACTTATTATTTATGATAAAATTCGCAATATATTAGTGCTATTTCATATATTGTACAAATATTTATTTAAATTTGGATAATAATGTATTTTTATATATCATTATATATCATTATATTTCATATTTTAAATTACAAATCTCTATGAATTGCTTCAATGTACTTGGCTAGTTAATTATTGATTTCATATTTAATTTTGTTTTTCTTTTAGGACAACTATTTTTTTAGGGAAAATTTCTGTAAACTATTTTAGGGATATTTTTATTAAATATATTAAATATAAATTTATGCATATGGTAGAATATTTTTATGTACTTGGCGTACTTTTTTTACCTTTGTAAGGTTTTTTTAGATGGGGGGGGGGATATCACACCTTTTTGTAAAAATTATATTTTTTCTGCAAAAAGTATATATGCATTTTTAGCACTTCAAGGCCAACTACACTTTTGTACTACTAAATCATTTATTAATTGCCATTCAGTACCTTTAGCACGTACAATGTTTGTGTAGTGTCCATCAAGTATATTTTTACCTTCATGAAAATTCCACTAATGACTTTATATGTATTTCCAGCAATATATATCTTTTCCGTAGGTACAGCTTTAATTTTTAATCTGTTATTTTAATAATTTTATATCATTGATTTTAAATAATGGTAACTGTAAGATAATAATACTTTTTGTCTCTATTATTTAGTCTTTTCAAGCAAAGAATAGCACTACAATTGGTACATATTTTGTCAACATTATCNATTGTCCATATTTGCGTTAATGACGGTGTTTTAAAAAAATATAATCTTTTT